TCTCATCCCCTCGGGCTGTGAGCTGCCAACTGTGGGCCCCATCCTCGGGAAGTCGGGAGGAAGAAATGCCCCTCCGGCTCTCACACTTCAGCAGCAGAAGGGCAGGGAGGGCGGAGTGGCTCCAGGTGACCTGCCCCACGGCCAGCGGTGCCCCCTGCCCTGGCTGCCTGGGAACCGTGCCCCTCTGCTCCCCGGCTGCCGCCAGCCCCGTAACCACGGCCCTGCACGGGGTCCCCGTGGTCCCCGCTCTGGCCCAGACACCGCCCTCAGCCCCCGAGTCACAAGGACGGCCCACGAGTGCACACGCGCCCGCTAACGGGCACCTCCTAGAGAAGCCACGTTTCAAAGCGTTTGGCTCCGGGCCCCCTCACCTGATCGTGCGACCCCTGCTCTCCCAGCGACGGGGAGGCCCCCGAGTGTGCCCGTGGAGGACGGCGGCCCCTGCATGGAGGGCCTGGGAGGCCCCACGGGAAATCGCCCGGCCCAACAGCCCTGTGGGGGACCCAGCACAGGCTGGGCCCCGGCCCGGGGCTGGCGACCCGGGGCCACATGGACCCGCCCTGAAGGTCTGTCTCCACAGCGCCCCACCCAACGGGCAACTTCCCCCGCGCTCCCCCCAGCACGTGGGAGTTCGTGGGACCGGCTCATACCCGGAGCGGCTTCTCGCCGCCGAAAGTCTCAAAAAGAAACAAGTCTGCTCTTTTTCTCTCAGCGGCCCTACTTGTCTCCTCGGGGCGACCACACACCGCCCGTCTTCTCCCTGCAGCTACTGACCAGCGGCATGGCCGCGGCACAGCGGAGACGCCTCCGGGTCCCTCCCAGCCCGCCGTGCACGTCAGCATCGCCGCGCGAGCCGTGGGGACGCCCCTTCTGGAGGCTCCGGAGCGACATCTGCAACCTCCAAATGACACGTAGGCGGATCCCCGAGTTGTCGGAAGACGCTCGAGGAGCCCTGCACACGGGCGACTGGCAACCCGAGGTCTCGGGGCCAAGCCCGGCCCACCGTGGGGCCCCGGGGCTGCGGAGGCCGAGATCCGCGACAGACCGACCGACCGACCGTGGGCTGCCGGGCCTGCGACGGTGAACATCTGGCTCCTCGTGGGAGAAGCCGCAGGAAGAGTGTTCTGTCAGGGGCCCTGCCCGCCACCCGCCGCCCCGACAGGCGCCCTGCTCACCTGTGGCCTGGCAGAAGAGGTGGAAGGTCCCCAGGGCGTGCACGTGCTGGGCCTGGTCGCTCAGGAAGGGCGGCAGCAAGGCGACCCGCTGCGGGCTGCGGTCAGGCCCCGAGGCCGAGGCCGGCCAGGGGCTTCGGGGAGAGGAAGATGAGCCGGGGCCCCGACAGGACAGGGAGGAGGACCCCGGAGGAGGGAAGGGCAGAGACGAGGCTGCGAGACAGAGGACAGAAAAGAGAGAGGCCGCTGAGGCAGACGTCACGAGGCTCGGGGCCTGCACGCCAGAGAAGGGAAGCAGAGACAGGAAAAGAAAGGGGACCGAGGCCGCCCCGAGAGCCACCCGCCGGTCAGCACACCGTCCCCGCCGCAGCGAACCACGTGCCCGCGCCGAGGATATAAGCTGCTCGTTTATTCGGTTACTTTTCAAATGTATACAATTCAAAGTAGAAAAATAAAAACAAAGGAAATCTTATAAAACACAAATGTGTACACCACAACAGTCGAGTCCTATCATGCTTAAGACAACACTGTCCACGCAGGCACACAGATCCAGAGGTCACTGCTCCTCGCCACGGGAAAGAGAGCCTTCTCGGCACACGGGAAGCAACAGGTGGAGATTGAACCGTCTCGCCCACTCGCACCTTCGAAGACAGCGCCGGGCCACGCGGGGCCGTGGGGCGTGGGGTCGCGAGCCGCCAGGCCTCGTGGGGACACAGGCCAGTCCGGCCACCGCGGTCCTGCTTTGCCGGAAGGCGTGGACAGCTCGGTTCGGCCGAGCGGGTCGTCCGGGTGGGCGGTGGACGGGAGACAGAAGCCAGACGTGACTGCGGATGCCCGGTGAACGTCCGTCCGTCCATCTGC